TACTAGTGTGTGTGTGTGTGTGTGTGTGTGTGTGTGTGTGTGTGTGTGTGTGTGTGTGTGTGTGTGTGTGTGTGTGGTGTGTGCGCGCGATCATTAGCTCTCTTACTGAGGAGAGAACAAACCGACGTATCGTATCCCACTGTCATTCGCTAAAGCATGGGTAAACTTACGTAATGGGTTTCAATTTCACCTTCAATGACCAAGCTTAATTAATTTTAATGCTGCAATGTGGTGCAGATTGCTCGAGTAACCCACTTTTACCCTTACTTAACTAGTTCGGATTTGAAGGGAGCTCTCATCTTTACGCATATTATATCGCATATAAAAATCACAACACGCGTAAATACGATACGAGATATTTCAAAGTTCCTCATATCTCGAACAATTAATTTTAATGTGCAATGTATGTATTAATAAAAATAAGACATTGATAATTTGAAATATTTCAAGTTTTGCGCTCCTATTCTCCAAGTATCTTTAGTTACATAGAGTGTAAGCACGTTGTGACTTGATGCATAGCACTCTAAACATGTAAATACATGTAACCGAAGGTTGCACGCTCTTTTATTAAATTCCCATTGTCGTGCTCATTGTGTTGCACCTTGCATCAGCCGAGAACGCACGATTTTTCCGTGACTACTTTCTTTCGCACTTGTATTTACATATGTTCTTTATACGTGTATATGACATTTTTGTCTAAACAACGACAGCACAAACAATGTCATTTTATTTATCCGATATTCTCAAGAAATTTCATGCAAATAGGCAAAAATAATTTTTGCCTATTTAATAAAATGGTTAGACTATGTTGTTGGCTCACTGTTGTTAAGTCCAAGACCGGAGAATTTAGCCTAATAAATTTTAGCCTAATAAATTTTTGTTCGCGTAAAAATACGAACAATATTGTCGGACTGTCCTATTGAGAATTGAACTGTAAAATTTAGAATTCATTGTATTATTTTGTTTCATTGGAACTTGGCACCGAAAGAAACGATATTCCGGATTGTACGAGACGATCGATCCAGACGTTAGGGTCTTAAGATTTAGGGTTCGTGTTACGAGAGAAAGAAGAGACTATCCTCGAATGTCGAGGCTTGACTTACCTATCCAATTAACGTTGACGCATAACTACTTATTCGCCATATGCTACTTTTGGTGATCGTATTCGTTTCAAGCGAAAACCATGAAGCCATATGCGTTGAAAGTACTTTCAATTAATAACAAACTCCCATTTATTCCAAGAAACTAGCTTATATTACATCATATGTGATTTTAAGTAAATAAATTCTCGCAGTAGTAACGTGCGACTATGTCTTATAACGCAAAATAATATTTAAGAAATTAGAAATTCGCAGGGATTGAATTTTAAAAAGTAAAATATTTTTTTAAGGGCGAAGTATACTGGTGATTACGATATTTCACAATAATGGAATTTGATGGCGTAAAATAATTTATAGAAACTGTCTGAAAGTATCAATTTTCCCGTTATCAACGTATCGCTCGAATCGTTCTGATAAGTCAAGTATCACGGAAAACGCACCGGTTTTGGAAATATTCCAGCTAAACGTTTTCTTTCGATAAGAGATAAAACATCGGTCGCGGAAAGTCCGCCAAGCCGGGAATTAATAGAATCGTCGTCACGAACGCGCGCGGATTCGTCATTGTCGATGAGACTCGAGTATAAACCGACTAGCCGTATGAAAGCGAAACGTAATGCGTGCTCGCTTCTACGGCATAGAATAAATTCGATATCCAATGTCGCGTGTGCCGTCATTTCATTCGTCACTGCTTCCTCTCGCGCGGAATACTTTTGTTCTCTCTACTGCGATACAATGCCACGAGATAACAAAAATGCCGACAACGAAAAACACGACAGACAGAATTGCCGTTAAATAATGCATGCATCCTTCTTTAGATAGATCTCTATATTCAAATCATAATCTCTATATTCAAATTATAATTTATAATTATATCGAAATTATTACATATTTACGATTTAAGGTAGAAAAAGATTATATTTGTTGATTTTTTTATTACTCGTTTAGATCTGTCAAATTTGACATTTGAACGAGTTTGCACCAGGATCTTTCTACTAAAACGAGTTTTAGCAATACAGGAAAAATTTATATGCCTCATCTTTCTCATCATTGAATATAAAAATTGATTTTGCGAAGAATACTCGTGATGTTAATGCATTTTGTTCTTTACGATTCCATCATCCGTTCTATCGCCTCTATCGTTACTGACGACTGATGAGAATCCAACTGCGATACTTTCCGGGAACGGTCGAGATACAATTATACACGGAACAGTGATTACACGATTATATTATTATTACGTTTGGTGAAAGCTGGTTTACGCTTCTGTGAGCATTACTAAAAATAAAACGGAGTACGATAAGCTTTGTTTGCTGTAGACTATGTAATCGCGATTAAGATTTACAGTATCTTACGCCAACTATGCCTGCGAGAAGCAGCTAAGGCAATGCCCTCCGAAACACATTTGTTTCATTTTTATGTAATACACGATGCTCTCAGTCTGATGGTTGAAAAAGACAGAAAAAGAGAGGAAGAGAAAGAATCTCGACGTTACTTCCGATTGCTGATACAATGCCGTTCGCGCTTTATGCTATAAAAGTTTCGACATCTGAGTAGAGCATGATAAATTCTCGCACAGTCGGGAATGTGACGAATCCGCGATTCCAGATAAATGCTTTAAGAAAGTGCATTAAGCATTACTCGTAGTCATCACTTTGTAGTCATCTCTCGGAAAAAAAACTGCAAACAAGTAAGATGATGACAAATCATAAATAAAATAAAAATGATGGACATATTTTTTTGGATTGTTGTCGAAAATATTCTAAAAAAAATTGAAACGAGACTTGCTCCATAAAATGATAGTCGAGGTTTCTCCTTGAAAAAAATCGCCAAATGGATTGGACTGGATTGATGGGCCACATAAGAAAAAAATGTTTATTTTAAAAGATGATTTTTTTTAATTCTATTTGCGAATCAAGAAAACTATTCGCTGTGCTAATCACAATGCCACAATGATATTTAATGTGGAGTGCATCACGCGCGTTATATTGTCGTATGCAAGGCCGATCGGTCTCTGACCCACATCTCTGACATTTTCGTTGCGCTATGATTAATTAACCAAATAATTGAGAACGCCTTTCGACATTCATCGACGAAAATCGTAGTCCTTGATTCCTGAGATTAACCAAGAGTTTACGACAACTGAAAAAGAAAAAGAAACAAGAGAAATTGACTGCAACATTTTTTTTTTTACATAAATCT